TGGATTAAAAGATCGTCATACTGCGTCATCCACGTGACTTCATTATGACTGGTCAATTGCTCCGTTGACAATATATAGTTTTATTTTTTTTTTGAATTTTTTAATGTTTTTAAAATTTTTACCTTTTATTATTTAAAATTTACTATATTATCTAGCAAATTTAGTAAGATTAAATATTATATTAAGGTTTAATAATAATAAATTATAATGATTCTTATGATTAACAGATTGTTTTTAAAACTAAAAGATTAGTTAAGACTTAATTTAAGTATTAGAGACCAGTATTAAGGGATTAATACTGTATCTTAATAAATATTATCTCTAATAATAGTATATTAAAGAAAAAAAGTATAAAAAGTATAAAAAGTAAAAAGTGATAATTTTATGTATTGATATTTAGTTTGAACTCGAAATCATTAAGTTATACAGTTTGACTGACTTCAACTACAAAAACTAGTTTCATTAAATATTAATCAGTAAATATTATCTACTTCTACCAAGACATCTAACAAGTTTAACTTCTTTAATATAAAGGTAACTATATCAACAGAGATGTAATAAAATATAATGAAAAATTACTAATATAAATATTTTGGGTAATTATATAATATTTTCATTCTAAACAAAGGAACGTGAAAAACAAACAAAAATGTATTATTTCCGCTATATAGTTAATTTATTAAGAATAATAGTTAAGCGAGTTATGATAAAAATACAATAAGCTAATGAAAAGAATCAATTAGAATAGTCCATAAATTCTTTCAGTTTCCGGATTTATATCAACATCATAAAAACAAGGTCGCTATATTTGTTTAAAATAGATCCATTAAAATTGTTTCTTCAAGAAATAAAAAACATTAATAAACTTACTGTAGGCAATCCTGGCATAGTTTGCATTTCACCTAACAAAGGATATAAAAATCCTGCGCCAACAGATGCTCTTATATCACGTACAGGTACTATGAACCCTTTTGGTACGCCTTTAAGTGTTGGGTCGTGAGATAACGATAGATGTGTTTTCGCCATACATATTGGTAATTTGGCAAATCCCTACAATTTATATTTAATTATACCATTTTTTTTTTTTTTTTTTTAAAAAATAAAATAAAAATAATCTTAAAATACATCCTTACTTGATTTGTAAAACGCTGGATTTTTTCTCTAGCTTCATCATTTAATTCGATTCCATCAGCTCCATACATTTCTTTGGCAATAATTTCAATTTTTTCCTCAATAGATTTATCTAAATCATATAAAAATTTAAAATCTCCTTTCACAATCTTGGCTGTGCTAGTAACCTTTACTATGGATTTTGCTAATTCCAATGCACCTTTACCACCGAATTCCCAATGCGATGAAGGTACAGCATCATCAGCTCCAGCTTCTATAGCTTTTTTACGTATTAATTCTAGTTCAGCTGAACTATCAGTTATAAATTGGTTTACCGCTACTATAATCGGTAATCCAAACTTTTTTGCATTTTGTATATGCTTGACAAGATTTTCACATCCTTTTTCTAACATTTCAAGATTTTCTTTTAGATAAATTTCAGGTAAAGGTTTACCAGGAGTAACCTAATCAATATCCAAGATTATTGATCGTTAAAAAAAAAAAAGGAAAAAAAGGAGATACGTTTTCCTAAAGTAGTGTACTCACCTCAGGACCACCTCCATGCATTTTAAGGGCTCTAACGGTGGCAACAAGGACAACAGCATCAGGTGTTAATCCAGATACTCTACATTTGATATTAAAAAATTTTTCCATTCCAATATCAGCCCCAAACCCAGATTCAGTAACGACATATCCGCTTTCCTCTTCATCCTCTTCTGTTCCGGCTAATTTCAAAGCAATTTTATCTGCTAATATAGAACTATTACCATGCGCAATATTGGCGAAAGGACCAGCATGTACAAATACAGGGGTTCCTTCAAGAGTTTGCATGAGATTAGGTTTTATAGCATCTTTCATTAATACTGTTAATGCCCCCCCAATACCTAAATCATCTGCTGTTATAGATTCACTGCCTTCTCCCCGGTCAAAACTGCTGGCTACTACCATTCTACCTAATCGTTCTCTCATGTCTGCTAATGATGTACTTAAAGCTAAAATTGCCATACATTCGGATGCTACCGCTATATCAAATCCCGTTTCTCTTGTTTGACCTTTTTCTGTTGGATTTTGTCCTATTGTAATTTTACGTAAAAATCTATCGTTCGTGTCAATAACTCGTTGCCTAAATTTTCCATATTAAAAAAAAAGCTCACTTTCGTTAACGCATTCATTACGACAAAAGCATCCACTTTGTAAGTCAAAATTAGACATAAACTATAACAAACAAACCATGTGATTGTATCTGGATCAATATCTAATCTAACAAACTTTTTTATTTCTTTAGGTATTAAATCATCAGGATTTGTTTTATCAATACCAAGTTTTTGTAATCTTTTAAGCATAACTGGCGCAAAGCTACGAATTCCTTTTTTAGGTGGACATAATCTATTAAGCAAAGCCTAATGTGTCAATAGATTTAGTAGAATTAGTGACTGAAAATAATTCATTCGATTTCCAACGATGAAATGTGATGTTAAAATTTACCTTATCAGACTGAGTTTTTTCATGAAACATCCGTGCGTCAATCGCAGCAGCTAAAATGTAAGTATAGTTATTAACGCGCAATCCATCAATACAATCACACGTAAAGTTATTCTTTACCTAATAAGTTATTTGCAGCAACAACAGCATGTATATCACCAGTCAAGTGTAGATTAAATTCATCCATAGGTATAACTTGAGCGTAACCTCCACCCGCAGCTCCGCCTTTAATACCAAATGTTGGACCTTGTGATGGTTGTCTTACACATGCGAATGTAAGTTTTCCTAAATGAGCACCTAATGCCTGTGCTATTCCTATTGTTGTTGTTGATTTACCTTCTCCAAGTGGAGTAGGTGTAATTCTAAATAAAATTCATGTAATAATTTAATAAGATGTTTGAAAAAAAAAAAACCATACAAATTATAAATGTAACATTTAAACATGCCCTGTAACTACAATGTATTTTCCATCCTTTTTTGTCTTCAACCTTTCAAGTACAGAAAGGTTGACTTTCGCTTTATATTGTCCATACAATTCGAACTATCGAGAAAAAAAAAAGATTTTTAATATACAATATCTTGAAATTTAAAACAAGCATATCACTAAAAAAAAATTCGGTATATAACCTCATTTGGGGCTAATCCTAATTCTTCAGCCAAAGTTTTTATAGATTTAGGAATTTGAGCAGAAGCGACATCAATATCACTAGGAACAGGCGAAAGAGGTTTTAAAGAAAGTAAAGAAATTTTTTTTTCTCTACTTTCTTGCCAAAATCTTTTTGTACTTTCGAAAGTATTTTGCAATAACATAGCTACAGTCATTGGCCCTACGCCACCAGGTACTGGAGTAATATAAGATGCCACGGTTGATGCACTAGAAAATTCTACATCCCCTACCCATCTTATTCCAGATTTTTTGGTCGAATCTGTGAATTCGTGTAAATTAGATTAATAATATTCACCGTACATATATATTTCATGGATGAAAATTTATACTTGCCTTCAATCGCGTTTGTGCCGACATCGATAACAACGGCGCCTGGTTTTATCCAATCTCCTTTAATAAAGTCGGCTTTTCCAATAGCGACTACAAGTATATCTGCGGTTTTAACCTATAATGATACAAATTAAAAACTAATTCTCTTTAAAATCTGAAAAGAACGAAACAAATACTAACTAATTCAGGAAGATTTTTCGTCTTTGAATGACATAATGTGACTGTGGCATCACAACTTGATAAAAGTGCAAACACAGGAAATCCCTAATTTAAAAAATCGGTTTAATTGGAATGATGTCGCGTGTTTTAAGACAAAATTAGTCATTATGTGACTTACAACGATGTCACTACGACCAACCACAACAGCCTTTCTGCCACAAATCTCAATGCCTATGAACAAAATCAGCTTTAATTCTATTTTAATTAAAAAGTAAAATAAATATATTATTTCGCAATACCAGATCTTTTTAATAATTCAAGAATCCCCTTGGGTGTGCAAGGTAAAAATAAAGGTATACAATTTCTTTTAGCTAAATTTCCAATATTAATTGCATGAAATCTAAAAAAAAAAAAAAAAATGTTAAAATAAAGGTAAGATTTGGTTAAAAGAGTATTTGTCCAACTCGATGATTCGTCAAAAATTAAATTACCCGTCAACATCTTTTTTGGGGTTAATGGATTCAGTAATTATTTTTTCATTAATATGTGATGGCAATGGTAATTGAACTAAAATTCCATGAATTGTAGGATTATCATTTAATTCACGAATAGCTGTTAGAAGCTAGTTTCGATTTATACGGAGTCACGTGAGCATGAATTAATGACATGAAATTAAAGCATTCTCAAAATATCATATAAAAAAAACCTCATCTTCTGTAATCGAATCGGCTTTCTTATATAGCGTTAATTCAATTCCCGCCTAGAAGGTAAAATTGTAATAAATTTCACGATCCTTTTTGAATTGTCACACAAAAACATATCACGAGATACAAAGTAAAACTTACTTCCTTGGCGGCTCTTTCTTTTTGACGAATATAAACTTTAGAATCTTCTCTTTCGCCCACTTGAATGATAGCAAGATAGGGTTTAAAACTTGAATATTTTTGTTTCAATTCACAAATTTCTTGCTTAATTTGAACTTGAATATTCCTAAAATATTTCAATAATCAATTTAAATGATATAAAATAAAATAATAATAATAAAAACTGAAAATGGATTCGTTACTTTGCAATGGCTTTACCGTCAATTAATTTTGCCATGTTAATAGGAAGACAAAAGTTCAAATAATGACGTTTTGTAACGTTACAAAAGAAATTTTTAAATTTAGTTGTCTGTTTACAGTTTGAAGGAAATCTCAAATTCCTCAATATCATATTTTTAACCTTAAAATCGATCATCATTTTTATGATACACAAAAAAATAAAATAGATGTTGAGATAACCATTAAAGACCTTTTGTTTTTGAAATATATTCGATATATTCAATCGGTAATTAATGCAGATAACACAAAAAGAAAAATCTATATAAATTTGTAAAATTAAATAGGATTTTATTAATTTTTAATATTATAATAATGATCTATTTTAGAACTTTTGAGCTCTATGCTTGCAAAATCTTTCAATTTTAAAAGAAGGTCTTTAACTTGTGTAGATGATCAATTTGTATTTTAATTGTCCATAGCGGTATCAGTGTATGAAATTCCAGTCAAATGCTTGTTGCGCAGTGCGCAAAAAAAAAATCACGTGCAATTTGCGGAAAATCAACCCAATTTGCGCACTTGCGCAAATATTTTCAAATATGTTTTTGCGCAGAATTTTATAAAAAAAATAAATTATACCATTAAACCAGATAAACCAATATTTATTTGATAATACCATATAATTAAAAAAAAAAAAGTCCAAAAATGTTCACTAATTATAAATTTACAACCCAATTTACAAATTTACATTGAAATAGAACGGGGTAATTGTGCCCAATGATTATATGCCGCCTCAAAATCAAACGAATATAGTGATGGACCATTAATTAAGTTATTTAGATGAAAATGAAGTGTTTCCAATTTCATCTTATTTCGTAATTTGTTTTTAATTAAGTTTTGACGCGAAAAAACTCTCTCTACCGAAGCATTAGAAAGCGGAATTATTAAAATAATATGAATGATTTTTGAAGTATTAGGATATAAAGAAGAAAATTCTGTAGTTGAAAAAATTCT